ATGAACCGTCATTCAGTTACTCTAGAGACGTCGTTAATGTAGCATGTAGCATTGCAACGTTCCTTCTTTATTGTGGCTAATTAAATTTAAAAAAGAAAAATGCTTGATATTCTTTCTTCTGCAAACGAAAACTAAATGGTATCTCTTTTTATTAGAGAAGGAATATCCAAAGCTATATATATAAATTTAGGGATCAAATGGGAAAAGAGGAAGCATGGCATTGAAATTATATAGAATTCTGGTGTTGCTTTGCATACCGGACTCAGCATACTTTTGACGAAATTATTGTAAAGCTTTTCCGCAAAAGTTATTTTTCTGACTAGAAAATAGAATATTCCAAAGTAATCGAAGTCGAATTGTAGAAAATGGGGGTGGGGGTTTACGATAATTTAGAATATGTTCAAAATGTACGTATTTTGTATCTTTGAACGTTGACATAACAATATTGTTTCTTATTGTTAAATAGGAAAAGTTAGTATGTAAATAGGAATAGTAAATAGGAAAAGTTAGTACCTGTAATAAGAAAAAAACTCATGGGATAAAAAACATATGGTCAATAAAATATTTATGCAAGTGGGAATAGAATTCTGGTGTTACTTTGCATACTATAATTGGCGAAATTATTGTAAAGCTCTTCTGTAAAAGTTTATTTTCCTAACTTGAAAATAAAATATTAAAAAGAAATCAAGGTCGAATTAGGGCAAATGGGGCGTTTCGATTAGCTAAAATTCGTTCGTAATGTACGTATTTTGTATACAGGGTGATTCTGAAAAGATGGGCAAAATTTTAGGAAGTAATAGTACACACCCAAGCAAACAATTTTTATCAAAGAATGCATAAGCAAACAAAACAAACCAAAACGCAAAACCACTATAGGGCGTCAAAGTTTATGTTCTTATATGAGGCAAAAACACACAAAGAACGATGAAGTTAAGTTATAAAAGCAAATTTAACGGCATGTGATTACAATAAGTGTTCAAAACAGTGGCCGGCAGTGGCTATGCGCACAGTACAACGGCGAAGAAAAGATAGGCGAACATTCTGAAACACACCAGGCATATCACGAGCTTTCCCTGCAGCGTCCGAAAGCTTGGCGACAAGTTCTTCTGCACATTCAATGGGAGTCTCATACATAAGAGCCTTCAGCTGTCCCCACAAAAAGCCAATTATTTTTTTAAATATTTTTAGACATTATAACACTCGAATCAGCAGCTTTTATGTATGAATAGTGACGAAAAATTTGCATACAAGCTCTTCTTCTTCCCATAACATGCAAATAATAACTCGCAGCGCAGTAACTCGCAACAGGAATGGAGCTTTCACGTTTGCATCAAACAACTTACCAAATGCGCCAGCACTTTTGCGTTTTGTTTTCGACCATGCATTCCTTGATATAAATTGTTTGCTTGGGTGTGTACTATCACTTCCTAAAATTTTGCCCATCTTTTTAGAATCACCCTGTATATGCGTTCGTATAATAATGTTGTTTATAATTGTCAAATAGAAAATGCTTACTTTTATGATTTCAATGAAAAACTAATGGAATAAAAAATTTATGGTGAATACAAACTTATGGAAATGAGATTTAAGAGGACGCGCCTAAACCTTTATTTGCCTCAAAGTTTGACGCAAACTTTTTCAATGCTTATAAAATCTATTAAAAAATTTCGTTAAAATAGTTAACAATTTTTGAGGAGTACGAATAAGAAATAACATTGTCTTTTTTTATTAAAAAAAAGCATTGTAAGAGCGTTTTTTTTTTGTTTTCCTCCTTCACAGCTAAAATTATATTTAAAAAAAAAACTGACATTTGCTTGTTTTTTTATACTCTTACATAATTTTGACGACATTCTATCGACATTTCAAACTCAGGAAATTATTTTTGTTTCTTTTATTTTTCTAAAAAAAGAAGAACAATTTGCGATTTTTAGCTTTAATTGTTTTCACCAGTGTAGTTCTTATTAACACATATAGAGTAAAAAATTTAAAACTGAAAAGTAAGTTTAATCGAATAAATGCTTTTTATCTCATGCTCTGAGGTATCACGATAAAATTACCAAATTATACCACATTTGTCAAATTTTTATTAAGCAATATTTTATTGTTACTTTTACTAAAATCATCACCAAAGCTCTTCGGTAAAAATAACCAGCTTTTTGGAGTTCCCATAGAGCCAGAAATACAGCAAATTTTACCAAAAGCTGCCACTTTTAAATATATTTTTTTTCTCAGTTGGCGTTTATCATTTTATTATCTCAAAGTAAACTATTTTTTCAAATACTGAGAATTTTATTTTCATTTTTTCAAGCTAAAAGTTAATTTTATTTAAATAGACGCAGATACCGTCTTTGTATAACGTTAAAAATATAGCTAGTTCATTGAATTCTGAGAAATTAGAATGATAACATCAATCTATCTGATTTAATGATCCTGACTTTCCTCAATGATCAAAGTCGTTTAAATTCTGCACATTATAGTACACGTTATTCTGCGAATTATTTCATACTTTCAAGTGTTCCATAAATTGTTATCTAACAGAAATTGTACATGAAATTTATAAGTCTTACTCAAACTGTAATTTACATATTTTCATATTCATTATACAATTTACATATTTTATGATATATCACTATATCATAAATTTATGATTTCATATCATCTATTCATTAAATAACATGGATATAGGAACACATAGAATTAATTAATTACAAGAGCTAATTAATGATTTCGTTACATATTTTATTAATTAACTTTAATTAATGATTTTTACCTTTGTTTCGTTACGTTGCACTAATTTATGATTTATGAACATATAATCTTTGCATAGCATTTACTTTTAAATTTCATGATTGTATGGCTTCATGAGAGTAGTTCTTTGCATTAATTAATTATAAATATTTATTTTCATATTTAATTAATTATAAATATTTAATTAATTATAAATACTTAATTAATTATAAATATTTAATTAATTATAAATATTTATTACAAGATTTCGTGATTTACTAGACAGAATTCATAACTTTATAATGTCATAATAATAATTTACATTTCCATAAATTTATAATTTCATAACACGAATTTCTGATCTCAATCTGTAAATAAATATCTTAATTTAATTAATATCTTTAAATTAACTGTCGTAAATCTTACAGTAAATGAAGGTTAATTCATTTACAGCAAAACTTAATATTTTCTTTAAAAGCGTAATTTTTTTTTTATTAATTAAACAGACTATTCAAATAAATACCAGATTAACTTTTAAGCTTGATGATTATAATTTATATGCATATTATGAAATGGAATTTTTTTAAGTTGATTCAAGTATTTCGTATTAAAATTAGAAAACGTCTTATAGAACAGCTTTTTATAAATTAAATGTTATTAAAATAATTAAAGTATATTTGTGAAACTACTTATTTTCAAACTAAACGTTCCGAAACATCTCAACTCAATGATAGCAATTTAATATAACCAATTTTTAAAAATGGTAATCATTATTTAAGATCACACTAATAATTATGTTTATGTTAGATATTGATCCATTGTGTTTTTTTATGAGACTCCAGTTTTCCAATAAAAATATTTTTACAATTTTTAGTGTTCCAAGATGTTAATGTCATGATATTTGTTGGATTTGGTTTTTTAATGACTTTCCTGAAGAAATATGGATACAGCGCTGTTGGACTTAATATGCTGCTTGCTGCTATTTCCATTCAATGGGCTATAATTATGCAAGGAATATGGAAAATGGTAGATGGTAAGATACCTGTAAATATCATAAGGTAAGTGATAAATTGAATTCTCGAAATTATGTTGGCTATACACTGTTAGTAATTTCTCGGAAAAATGGTTAAATAACAACTTATTTAACTGTTATTTTACCATATTCAAACAAAACAGTAAAATAACCGTAGAAAAGAAGAGATTCAATCTGTAAACTGTGACCATTTATTAACTACTTTCTTCTAATAGGGCTAAACAAATAGAATTTTACTACACCAACTATTTCCACCTAATGAAGTTAGATCCTTGCAGCTGGGTACATAATATAACCGAGAGGACTAATTAATTAGTCATTCTCATGACCGACAGAATGGGGCTTGAGTCCCAACGTTGACACCACGATATTTCCTCCATTCCCTTCTACACTTGAAAAGTTTCCAGTGGCCTGCATTCTCCAATTTGTGTCCGTGGGCTGTTAGAATACGATACTCTCGTTTACGCACAGATGGCCATAAAGCTGTAAGCATAAAGCTGCTGAACTATCACCGAAGTTAAATTTTTTTAGTACGGTTCTGAAACCATACTAGATGCAAATGGTTTAAAAACTGGTTAAACTTTACTAAAGAACAATTAAACATTACGATTATTTGGATGGACCGACTTCTGCCGGTTATTTTCCCATAGATTTAGAATAAAAATATTAACAGTGTAGAAAAAAAAAATTAAACATCATATTTATCGCATATGCCAAATGTGCCGTAACAATTGGAATACGAAAGATATAAGTCACTAAGAATACGATAGATATAAGTGGTCAGCGAAAAGTTCGTTTTTGAAGGATCGTTTTCTTTTGTAGTAAAAAGCGTTTTATTTTATTTTGTAACCGACGCTGAACAGCCAACCCAATTCTGAGTTTACGACTATCAATGTTCAACTCCATAGCCTCGTAATTTTGAACCCAATAAAGAAGACAAGAGAACTCCTGAATCAAACATTTGGACAAACTAGCTTTTGGGAAGGATTTTTGACACAACTAGCTCTCATTTGCGTTGCATGGAGAGGAAAACCACAAAAATCACCCAATGTTAGTCCGATGGTAAGGGAACCCATGATTCGTCTTGTACTGACAATATTTTACGTCAGCTCTGTGATCGGTGTGAGCAGGGAGCAGAATTCGTATCGCCACCGCTGAGATGTGATTCTGGGTCACCTCATGTAGCAAAATATATTTTAAATTTAATCCATAAACAGCCCCTTGAACAGCTGATACAATTCTGAGTTTACGACTATCAATGTTCCACCTCGTAGCCTTGTAATTTTGAACCTAACCCAGAAGGCAAGGGAACTCCTGGATCAAGCATTAGGATAAACTAGCCTTCGATGAGAACTTTTTTGATGGAATTCACCCACATTTATGTTATATGGAGAAGAAAACCACGAAAACCTCCTTGCCTTATTGAGAGGATATATAGTGGAAAACTGGGAGATTTTGCCCCTCCATTCCGTTCTTGCAAGTGGAACAAACAGCAGAACTACCCTTCTGTCCGTTTTTAAAAATCATTCTTCATTTAAATTTTAGATAAATTTTCTCAAGAAACTTATTGTGCTTCATGCCTAGTATGGTGTTTTCAATACTTGATATGCACCAGAAAATTTGATATTTTTTTTAGATCATGTTAATCGAAACAAAAAGCTATGTTAATTAAGTAGCATACGTACTTGTTTTTTAGAAATTGAATTACAAATTCCCTATTGTTGTCCTTTCTGTCTATAATCATTGAGTACAAGATTTAAAAACATATTATTAATGAAGTTAAAAAAAATTATTTTCATCTTGTATCGACAAGTTTTTAAATAAACTTTTGGAGTACATATTTTACAGTGTAGTGCAGAAAATTATGGATTCTCCTTTTTAGAAAAATAAAGCAAACTCTATCACTCATCACCTGTCGATTAAATAAAAACTAATAAAGGAGTAAGGCGTGTAAATTGATAGAAGGAATGAATTATAAATAAAATAAAAACAAAACAAATACTGTAACATCAGGAAATGATGATTTATTTTTCTTTCGCATATAAGGTCGTATTTGTCACTAACCTTCACTCACTGCATGTTATTTTTATGATCGTATAACTCATCACTGCACTTAATTATTCCAGAGAAACTTTTAAACTATATCGTAGAACACTTTTATGATAAATGTTTAAATGCTAAAAGCATTAGATAATTCTCCCAGTTTAAGATTAAAAACAATCAGTTTTTAGATATTCATTTTAATTTTTTAACTAAAACTATAAAAACTATCTAATGGACTTTTTATATAAAAAGACATTTTACCAAGAATAATTATACTAACTCAATTCTTTTTTCATAACCGTTGTTAGCAACCAACTCAAGTTTGAGTTTACGACTACCAATATTCAAATCCGTAGCGTTGTAATTATAAACCCAATTCAGAAGACAAAGCAACTTAGGGCAAGGGGGGACTTTTTGATAGAACTTACTCGCATTTGCGTTACATGGAGAGAAAAACCACGAAAACCTTAACAAATGAAAATCTAAAAGATTAACGTCAAAATACAGGCAAAAAATTTGATGCAGGGATAGTGTCAAAGTGTTTAAAAACAAGCTAAAAACTTATTTTTCAACTTTCTGATATTAATCATTGTTGCATTATGACACAGACACAAGAACTAAATTGATAAAATAGCGTGTTATCTGTTAATTGTTTATACCCCCGAGTTTTCAAACTCTATAATCATCTGCCGATTTAAATATTATTTTAATAGATAACTAGTTAAACACAAAACAATAAATTTCAACGCAGAAATAAATGTAGTTGCAGTTTATAAAATTTCATTGAATATTTCAGGCATTATAAAATTTTATTTAAAATTTTTAAACTTAGGTAGTCTAGATAAACATTTTGTTGTTCTATACCTGAAATAAGCAAATATATAAAAGAAACAATTGAATGAAAATCATTTGTTTACTTTCTCTCGATCCTATAAAGTAAATATTAGCAAAAGTAAACATGAATCACCAATTAGGAAATGGAAGGTATACTAAGAATGGTATTTTAAAATTGAACTGAAAATAAAAAAATAAATAAATTCTCATTTAAATTAAACCATTTAATTTCCTTGATGAATGTTTATTATATTACAGACATCATGTTTATCATTAGTTTTAAGTTTGAGAGTAGTAAAGTTTATTAAAGATATATGGTGCAATAAACAATGATCATTAATGGTAATTTGTGAAACTCTGCATTCATTACATCGTTAAAATTATTGAAACATGTTTAACTGTAATATGATACAAATTTGTTCACTTTAAATTAAGTGTGAAGTTGATATTTAGTCATTCTTAAACAAAATCATATAATATGGCAATGTTTCAATTTTAATGGAAACATGGTGAAACTTAATATTTTATAAACGTTGCACCGAAATTTTACAATTTAATTATTCAAACTCTCGGTATTGCATAAATTTACATGATAATATTATCCATCAGTACATTCATTTGAGTGATGTACACAATTGTTTTATTTTCATCAGCTAATATATTCTTTACATTATTACAAATTTACGTAGTATTTAAATAAATTCGTAAATTAATCTATTCAAATTATTGATGAAATTACATGAAATAATATTGTTTAAACATAATGAACAGAATATTTGGTCATTCGAAAATATTTCATTATGAAATATTTAATGAAATTGCGTGAAATAATGTTGTTTAATTTGGATGTTAAGCAGAATATGGATATTCGTGAATATTTCAATATAAAATATTTAATCAAAGTACATGAAATAGTGTTGTTTAAGTTTAATATTAAATTGAAGATACCTAAGTACATCAAAGAAAATTATTTAATCAAACTGCATGAAATCTTGAATATAAATATTCTTAAATGTTTCAGCGTGATTGGAGGAAATTTTGCATCTGCAACAGTTCTCATTTCTTACGGAGCACTCCTAGGTAAAACTAGCCCATTGCAGCTAGTAACAGTAGCTGTTTTAGAGATAGCAATATTTGCTTGTAATGAATATCTTGGAGTTCAAATATTAAAGGTATGTCAAATCAGACTTGAAAATTTGTTTAGAATTTTTTCATTTATTTTATATTTTCTTGGTTTATAAAGAATACAGGGTTATTCATAATTCCCTCCGGGGTTTCGAAGTGTTAAAAAAACTAAGACGAATATGGCAAAAAAGAACATATGAAATTATTCCGAAAGTATTCAAGTTTTAATTTAAGAAGTTGCCGGTAGATGGCAGTAACATGTACCGCTAAAGCCACTTGTAGTAAAGAAAAATGGCGTTTACAGGCGGAGGGAATTATGAATAACCCTGTATTATACAGCATAATGTATGATTGACTGAATGTAAACAATAACAAGCTTCCTTAACCGGAAGAAATTTAGAAAACTTCCGGTGTATCCCTCCGCTTATGTAATGCTTATGAGGCGATGTGTGAACAGGCTTCATATTCTACGAAGTTTCATTATTGTGATTTTCATTCAAATTTACTCAAAATCTTAGCATTCATAAGAGTTTTTTGTAATTCATAAATTCTAACAGGTTGGAAGCCTAAAACAAATTTACGAAAATTAATATCACAATATAAATAAAGTGTAAGGTTTGCTACGTTTTGAGTGTTATCCCTTATTTGGCTATAATCGTGTAAAATATCGCGGGTTGTTGCCTTTTGAGTAGCCTCATAGCATACTTGTGGGGTCTTCCGAATTAATTTTTTTTTTTCTCGTTGAAAGTTAAATTGAAAGAACGAGTAATATTGTGAGCACAAGTATAATAACATCGAATGGCGCATCTCCAATAAGTAAGCGATGTAGCTTAAAGCCTAATTTTGACCTATTAGAACACCGAAATGTGCAACAACCTGCTTTTTAATCATAATTTAAAAGTATGACACAAATAAAGTAAAAAGAAAAACGAAAATAGAAATAACAGATCGGGTGCAATGATATTTCACCGTTCAAACTAGTCAACAAAATGGCTACTGTTTGCGCATGTGATCGGCGACAGCCAATCAAAATCGACAGCGGCACAAAGGTCGTTGGGAAAAGCTGTGTGAGGTATAATGTTTTTGGCATATCATCATTCCATGCTTTAATTTTTTCAAATCATAGTTTATGACTTTGTTATCTAACTAAAAATATCGACCCCTGACTCGCTAGGTTCGTCAAACTCTAGAACTGATCTCACCTTTTTCTTTACCCAGCACTGTTTGCTGAATTAATGTAATATTTTAATCTATTTAAGTCCAGCGTCGTATAAATAGTGGTATTTTTTTAAAATAAAGTCAAATATGTGCAACTGTTGTTCTTAACTTCCTTACGAACTCATAAAATTTATAAACATTAAAGTAAATATTAAGGAAATTGAAACTGTAACATGCACTGTAAAAAATACTAAATTAAATTACGGTGTAAAGTATCGGCAACCGTAAAAACCATTTTATCGTAAAATCTATTTTTACAGTAAAACATTAAACCAAAATTTTTACAATAATATTTATTTAATTGCAGTGATTCAGTGATTTTACAGTAAAACTCACGATGCATCAGATTTTTTTTTTCGTTCTGTAACAAGTCCTGGTAGAAATGGGCTTTATGATAGAAAGTGCCGGCACTCTCAGAGCCGGTCCTTTTTACTGTAATTTGATCTAGAATTTTAAATAATATATTAAAGGACAGATAGAGAAATGGTCATGTTCTAAGTCCTTATAAGGATTTTATAAGAATTTCATTTGTTTCTAAATTTAAGTTTTAGTTTGTTACAGCGGATAAATATATTTCGAACAAAGTTGAAATGTTGAAGTTTTATGTAATAGGTATCAAATATACTAAAATAGGTACAAAGAATTATATTGTTATATTTGGTAATTATTTAAACTGAACCAATGCTGAGCAGTTTTAATGCTAAGACTATAGAAATAAGTGATATAACTGAGAAAATAATTTGATAACCGTAAATATTGACTATTATGAGTTAACCGTGAGCAATCGCAACATGCCAAGTGAGGCTGAATTCAGTTAATCTCTATTTTGATTGTATGAACTACAAGAAAAGTTATGCTTAATTTAATAACGTAGAGCCACTGGGAAGGGCAGCAAAACTATTAATAAATAAAAACGATTTGAAATTATTTTAGGCTTACTAATTGCTTCGGTATATGCTTTTCAGTTTTACTCAGCACTAATTCAAAAAAAATTTTTGTTCACCCCGTACAAAGAACGGGTGTTTAGCTAGAATTTAATAAAAATAAATTAAGTTTAAGACTTGCATTTAGAATTTTTCTTTAATTTCCTCTAAATTATTACAAAATCTTTCTTTAAGTTCGATATCTATGTAAAAATATTCTTACAGAATTATCCAGAAATAAATTCAACATAAAAGGGATTGATTTTTTTTTTCATCTTCTAAAATGAGATTTTCATAATCATTCCTTGATTTATTGAGTCCTCAGATAAATTCGTTTCGTTCTTTTTTGAAACATTCGAAATAGATTCAGAATTTGTTTTTATTCTTTATTTTAGATTTTCTTTCTTAAATCTCAGCTCCGCCCAACTCTTTCCATGAAGTTTTCATTCTTACTCGCTTTTGAAATTGAAAGAAATTTTATCTCACTTCATACATTTGATGATAAAGTACCAAAAAGGGAAAAAAATAAAAAATACTTTTTTTTCACGAACTTTTTTCTCAGTCAAAATATATGCATGATTCAGTCAGTTGCTTGCGTCCTTTTCGAATACAAAACAGAAATATTTTGAAAACGAATTAAGTTAAATTTCTAAAAACATCGGATGCAGAATATTTATAATCTTTTTTACAGATATTTTATTGAAAAGTATTCGAACAGAAAGAGATGAAAATTTTTAAAAGAATATATTATATAAAAAAAAGCTGTCAACACTAAGAATTTCTGATCGATCAATTACAAACCTGTTACATACCACCCAAAAATAAAATTTGAGAAAATTTTACATTATTTTATGTATGAACTTACATTATCCGTTATATATATATATATACACCGAAGAGCCATTACATTATGACCACCCTGCTAATAACATGTAGGACCACCCTTAGCCCTCAAAACTGCTAGCACCCGCAGTGGCATTGATTCCACAAGGTGCTGATAGGTAGTCTGAGGTATCTGGTACCAAGCGCTCACCAACTGGTCCTGCAATTCCCTTATGTTGCGAGGGGGTAGCATAGCAACACGAATTTGGTTTTCCAAGTAGGACCACAAATGCTCTATTGGATTAAGGTTAGGTGAATTTGGGGGCCAAGGCATGACTTGAAAGTCACTGGAATGTTCCTCGAACCAATCCATGATGATTCGACCCTTATGACATGGTGCAGGAAAAACTGTTGCCATGAGTGAGTGAACCTGGTTTGCAATTATGTTCAAGTAGCTTACAAACGTCAGGGATTGTTCTATGAGGATTATGGGTCCTAATGTGCCCCATGAGAACATTGTTCCTGGGCGAGAAACCATCACAGCCTGGGCGAGCCCATTGTTATAGATGGAGGGTGATCGTAATGTAATGACTCTTCGGTGTGGGAAATATTTCTTAATTTAGATTCGGTGTACTAAAATATTTCTTAATTTAGATTAAAAAAACGCTGTGAAATATTATTGAATTATAGAATATTTAAAAAGAGGTTTTTAAATAAAGAGTCAGTGATACCTTAAAAAAAACAAGCAAGAGTGGCATAAAAATTTGACTTTATGTAAGAAAAGAAATGAATCACTGAAATTGAAAAGGAAAAAAAATGTTTTTAAATTTTTTTCAACGTACCTGGAAGAGGAAAAGAAAATCTTTCGAACATTGATTTATCTTTTTCGTTACAAAAAATACATGAAATAGTAAATAATTTTCTATTTTTAAAGAACTTTTGTAAAATCTTTTCAACTAAACTTTTTCAACAATCAATCTCTAGATGACGGATTACAGTGTGTTCAAACTATTGCGGTAGAACACCATGTCTTAAACTATGAAATTTTGTGAATTTTTTAAAATTTTCAGGCTGCTGATATTGGTGGCTCAATATTTCTGCACACATTCGGAGCTTATTTTGGTCTCGGCGTATCCTACATGCTTTACCAAAAAGATTCTGTTGATAATAACAAAGAGGGATCGAATTATTACTCAGACATATTTGCAATGATAGGTAAGCAAAACTTTTTATATATCCTTTGATCCAGAATTTTATGTGTTTTATGTATGTTTAATGAATGTTTTGTCAGTAGAATGCATGTTCTACTCTCATGTGCCCTTGAATAGGGCGGGTCGAGATAAGAATAAACAATATATCCTTTGATTTCATTTATGTTTGACTAATCGCAACTGAAAAAACTTAGGGAGAAATAATTTATTGCAATCGAAAACGTTCCATTTTTATGTTTGATGTTTCAAAAGTTTTCTAATTTTTAAAAAAAAAAAAATTTTGAACAATTATAAATTGAATTGTAACGGCTAAAAACAAATACCACTGTAAGAAACTGGCCACTAGATGGCGCGTTAAACTTTCTTTTAGGTTTCTGTTTGCTTCCAAAAAGAGAGTATAGTCGAGACTAGAAAAGATGATGGCGGTATTTAGATAAAAGTCTTTGTTAATGTTAGTCTGTGATGTGTCAATAATATCTGTGATGCGCATCTATAGCTTTGAATAAATTAATTTAAGATGCAGGTGACTCGTTTTTTGTGTGAAAGTTTAAAAGTCTTTACACCACATAAGAATATACCCAACCATTGCCAAATGCAGGGTTGCCACTCCACAGAAAGAATCGAGAAAACCTGGAGAATACAGAAAAATCACCTGATATAAACGGGAAAATGTGGGGAATTTTGAGTTTTTCTTTACAAATTTTGGAAATTACAAGAAATTGTATTTTTCCTTTTCGTCTTTTAAAAAATGGGGGCCACTCAAAGCGCAATGTATGGCGTATTTAAGGGTGATACTTCAGCTATAGTAAACTATTTAATCTACTATTTCATTATTTAAGCATGTTCAGCTGTTTTATATATGTTCAGTTTTTCTGGCAATTAAAACAAGTATAGTTAGCCCAATATAGCTCACACAAGAGCACAGTAGATGTATTTCCCCTTAATATATTGTGTACGTGTACAGGGAAAGTTGCACAGTTATTGTAGTTTTTTCTTCTTTCAAATTTGAGTAGCAACCCTGAAGCACCTAGTTCCGTTTTTCAAGACTCTATTTTCAACGGCCATGGCAGAAATTCCACATAATTTTAACTCCGGGTAGACAACAGGGATAGCGTCTGAGCTAAGCCAATTTTCCCCACTTCACCTCGGTTGTTTACTCGGCTACCAGAATCAAACTTAAGACCCCCACTTGGTTTTTCGAAGTTCTTTTGCCAAGAAAAATAAAAAAGCCACAGTTTAGCTCTTTAAAATAAAGCTTTAATTTTAAATTATATAGTCCATCTTGCCGTGAAAAACCATTTGTCCTTTAAATCGGACAAATAACTTAAATATTGTGAAAGTTATTAAACTTTTTTAAAAAATCGTCAATTTGTGCGGTAAAATTAATGAAGAATTCTCATTTCTTGCAAACTTTCATGAGCCCAGATAAGGAAGCATTCGTGTAAGTTTTTAAATAATAGAAAATTTGCCCGAGAATGCTTGTCATTTTCTCAAAACTGTGACTTTTCTCCATATTGACGTTTTGAAACATTCTCAGAATAAACAATTCTTTTTTAATTATTTATTTAGTCATTTCCAATGAGCTGCTCCAATGAGCTGCACAATCGGTCTTGCCGATGAGCAGACTAGTGCGTTCTCCAGAGGTGGTATCCACTCTTTCAGGACCACCGCAATGGATGAGATACCGTTGGTCATGCTTATTTGGACGTCTAGTTTCTGCCACACTAGATGACAGCACCGAGACTCTATTTAGACGCTAAAGTGCTCTAGGAATTTAATTTTGCCAAGAGCCAATAAGGCACTCCAGGAATCTTTTATATGCCGCATAATCATACGACATGGCCGCTGAGGATTTTCTGCATCCCGAAAATCAGGTGTCTGGGCCGGGGATCGAACCCGCAGACTTGGGCTCAGAAGGCCGACGACAAACCAACTGCGCCACCCAGCTACAGAATAAACATAGTGGGTGCTGGCTAAAGATAAGCTGAACCTGACCCAAACGCCATGAGTAGTTGTTGAAAACTCCCAGCAGTTATGAAAATAACATATTGTGCGTAAAAAAGCTTCATTTCATGAGGCGACAATGATTTCGAAAAACAGCCTTATTATAGTAAAGGAAGCAACACAAACTATTACAGTTTTCCAGAAAATTCATGTTTATGCTTTATGCAATATATAATGAGTCAGTATGTGTCTTTTTTAGCAGTACATTTCATTAATTTTAAAGGTACTGTATTTCTATGGATGTTTTGGCCAAGTTTCAATTCGGCATTAGCGATGGGGGCTGAACAGCATCGCAGTGTTATCAATACTTTTGTAGCACTACTTGCTTGTTGTGTCGTTACTTTTGCCATTTCTTCGTTGGCTGATGGAGAGGGACGATTGAATATGGTAATAAAAAGTTCAGTATTATTAATTTTAACATCATAAATGTTTCAGGAAAAGAAAAAAGGGAAATTAGAATTTATAAAACGAATTAATACACTATAAAAATTCCTAATCAAATTACTCCAATAAGTATCGGCGCTTTGCGTGGCGCTACTTTTTATGGTAAAATCCATTTTTACCGAAACATGTTACAGACAAAAAATCTGATATACTGTAATTTTTACTGTAATACTTTTACGCTATAATTAAATAAATATAACCAAATTGACGGCATAATATTTCACGGTAATAATATATTATAAATAATGATATACTACACTGTAAAAATTCTGGATCAAATTGCGATAAAAAGTACCGGTACTCAAGGTACTTTTTACAGTAAGATTCATTTTTTCCAGAACAAAAAAATCTGATAAACCATAATTATAACAGTAATTACCTTAAAATCAATGAATCACTCAATTAAATAATTTTACTTTAAAATTTCGAGGTATAATATCTCATGATATTAATGTATTTTACGCACAATGCTCCCAAAATGTCGTTACTTTATACCTTAAATTGATCAGGAATTTTTCACAGTATTGGCAACTGCTTTAAGTAACCGAGTATCATAATAAAGTCCAGAACATATTTATTATGTTGAGTTTTTCATTTATTTATTCTATTTATCTTTGAAAGAATATAAAAATGTCATAGAAATGTTATGCCTTAAAAATATCATTTTTAATAAAAATTATGTTGATACTATAATTTTTCAACATTTCAAAAAAATCTTCGCATTTTTAAAGTCAGAATTGCAGGTTTTTTTAGTTTTGCTATATCTCTTAAAAATCCTAAATTAAATCCTAACTCCTTTTTTTTTATCATTATAAAAATAAAAAGTAATATAACTAAGATACCTAAATTTCAAAGGAAATTATTTTTATATTTGAATGAAAATAAAAGGATCATTGCGCAAATAGTATTAAAAATTTCAGTGGCACTTGTAACAACTCAACAGTGTTGAAGAAAGCACATAAATTATGCATTGCGTTTTTAAACATTTTTTCTCCTTTTAAAAGAAAGAAAATACAGCATTATTTTTTCTATTATGGTTCCTAATGAATTTTATTTGAATTTTTGAATAATTTTCTAAAACTTCACAATTTTCAAGATTTCAGTGTTATTCAAGTCAATTCTTAATTTCAAAATAATTAGAGCAGGTATAAATTATTGGTTCAAGTTTATTTATAAATCCATATGTGCAAAACTTAAGATCTAAAAAAACTCGAGATAAATGGAGAAACATTAAGGTAAAACTTTTTTTAGAACTGTCGAAATGATTTGCGTAGGTAATTACAATGGTTCTCACAGAATGCGCCACATTAAATTACGTATTTTTAACCATTGTTTTTAACACTTAATTTAATGAAAATTACAATTTACCCTTCAGAAGTGAGAGGGGTTTCGCGTTAAATGTGACGAAAAAGAGGCAATTGATATTTATTTAAAAAAAAAATTGTCAATATTTTCTAGGTGCATATTCAAAATGCAACTTTAGCCGGAGGAGTTGCTATAGGTTCTACTGCGAATATGATTATACATCCAGGAGGAGCCATGATTGTTGGAGGCATTGCTGGCATTCTTTCAACAGTCGGCTACAGATCTTTAACAGTAAGTAACATGAACTAAGTAGCATAGATTGGGATATACAGCACATTCCTTTTTAATCGGCTCATTTAAAAGCAATTTTAAAAAAGAAACAATTATTGCTAGTTAGCTTAGCTAAATTGCGGTTAAAACAAAAAAATTGAGAAAAAAAATGGAAAGCGCTATTCTGTTATTGTTATTAGTTAGTCGTTAATATTGCTCACGTCGTTAACGCAACTAATTGAAAAATTGTTTGCACAAACCGGGAAGTCGAGTATGAAAAGAAACGGAAAAATAAAGAGCCATCTCCTGAATTATTTTATCGAAATTCTATCCAACTAATTTTATAATAATAAAAAACATGTGCCAGTTCATTTGTCAGACGTGGTGCGGTAAGGCGCTGGACCCATGTCCGAGAGTTCGTGGGCTCGTACCCCGTCGACCGAAGACTCCCCGTGCAGTAAAGTGACTGATGCACGCTAAATCTGTCGAGTCGCAAAGTCCACCATGTTCACATAACAAATCAATACCTCTGAGGGTACTGAATTGGAGATTGATCGTTCTCTGATTCAGGTCGTAATTACGATCTGTGGATAAATGAATGGATGTATGAATGGGTCCGCCTTATAAACGGGTGTGACGTATGGTGTGGCAGAAGTCGAATTCTTGGCCATAGATGGCGCCACTGAGAAACAAGAAACCCACACTCTGCCTTAAATTTGCTCGGTTTCGGCAAGTGGCATTAGAAACAACAACAAGAAGTACAGAAAAGGATAAATAACAACTTGATTATCAAAGTTATTTAGGATATTTTCTCACACGAGAATCAACAGAGAAACAACTAAACATGCAAAATGTACGTAGTGACTCATCCATCCGACGTGTCCACCTTATTTCGTGTTTTTTTTTTCTTTTTTTTTTTATGGAATTGAATTTTAAATAACTGCATTCATTAGTCAAGATCAGATTTATTTTTGGACTTAAAATTGGGATTATTTGATATAAAATTAACTGTTAGACTAAAAAGTTTTATAAAATTGTCTTAAGATTTTATAACAAAAAATAATCAAACTTCATAAAATTACCTCTTTAATAAATAATTACTTAATGACAGACATAATACTGATCACTTAATTACACATTTATATACTTAATAATACTAATTAAGTAATTATTTCTTATTAGGTAATAATAAATAATTACATTACACACATTCACTAAAGAATTAAATGCTTACATGAAACAAAAATTATGGATTCAAACATTCCCTAATAATATTCCCACAATATTTCAATGCAAAAACAAAACTAAACTAAAAACAAATTGTCGAAACTAAAAATGTTTCTGAAAACTGCTTCACTGCGGCACTGCAAAATTAAAAATGTAACTTGCCGCTTCGTAAACTAAATTTCCTGCAATGAAAATAAATCAATTACAACAATAAATAAATTATAATAATTGATTACAACAATTGATTGGGTTTTAACAGTCCAACCAATTGTTATAATCAATTATTATAAATCAATTGTTTGTAATAATGTTCTTAGAATACTTCTTTGCGTAAACAATGTTTCTTATAACAAAACAAAATCTATTGTTAAATTCAGTAAAAATGTTTGTAACAATAGACTATAACTACGCCACTGCATGAACTTGATTTTGAATAATAAAAATAAATCAATTGTTAAAACCACTTTCTAGTAAATTTCTTAGACTACTTTCCTGCGTAAGCAATGCATCAATGCAAAAACAAAACTAAACTAAAAACAAATTGTCGAAACTAAAAATGTTTGTGAAAACTGCGTCACAATGCATCACTGCAGAAATTAAAAATGTAACTTGCCGCTTCGTAAACTAAATTTCATGTAGGGTGACCTGGGGTAATTCCTGATCAAAAAATGCAAACATCTATTTTGTGAAAAAACTATTCAAGATAAAATTTTAATATTTATTGGAAGTTTGAGGCTATATGAGATGAGTCCTATGCCACCTTTTTTTGTTTGAAAATTTAATTAGAATTTAAAAGATTTTAATGTTTTTAGTGATCAGGAATTACCCCTGGTCTTGATCATTTCTAGGGTAATTACTGATCACCTCTGGGGTAATTACTGATCACCAGTTTTTATAGTAAAGGGGCTGTTTAAAAATAATTATATAATGGTAATTAACAAATAAGACATCAAGATCAAACAAATAAACAAAAAAGATATGTTTAAGCAGCTAATAAAACAATTTATTTAAAAACAAGAAAGATAAACACTTTAAATTTTCCAAAAATCTTTGCATCGTGCCATACATTGTAGGCAATCAGCCAACTCATTCTCATGTTCTGCTGAAATATAAGAGAGTTCCCACATGGGTTACTTTTGCTGGATTTTTTAACTTCATTAAGTGAAAGTGTAAAGTTAAGTAAGGTATGTCAACTCAATAGCTCTGGCAGCAGCTTTCACACTGAAATTTTCCTTTTCAATCATTAAAAGAAATTCACTAATTTTGCTTTCTAGAAGCTTAGTATCCTTTTTAGGCTAATAATTTCTCACCATATTTATACTAAGCTAATTTATAAACTTAAAAATTATTCTAACAATGTACACACATAAAATTAAGATAGAAGCAAGGTAAGACAAACCAGAAATGGTGCAAATCAGAATACAGTCTTGTATACAGTTAAAAACAAATTTTGTGATGACAGTTAAAATATATTTTATAGTTGTTCCACTTAATAAATATGAACTGTTATTTAAGAAAAGACAATTAGCTATTTATAAGCTATTTTATATACTATTTATAAGAAGAAATGACAATGATCAGGAATTACCCCAGTGATCAATAATTACCCCATCTGTAGGGGGCAACATTTGATATAGTTTCCTATAATCAATTATAATGTTTACAGTAGATGTGAAACAATTAAACAAAAGCTTACACTACTTTTATATCAAAGAAAAAGAAAGTAACTCAAAATATTTATTATTAAGAGAAGGAGGGGGATCTTTGCAGAAATGTGCACATTTTGAAACCCATCTTTGAAATGGAAAATACAGAAAGCAGTTTAAAAGATACTTATTTTGTTAGATTAAACAAAAAACTATTATTAAGTAAATGTAGTTATACTTTAGTAAAGTGTACAAGATTTCTTGTCTATGTCTCAAATTTAAAAAAAAATTATTTTTTTAAAATAAAACTTAGGTGATCATTATTTACCCCAGAAACAGAGTGATCGTGAATTACCCCGGGTCACCCTAATGAAAATAAATCAATTACAACAGTAAATCAATAATAATAATTGATTATAACAACTGATTGGGTTTTAACAACCCAATCAATTGTTATAATCAATTATTATAAACCAATTGTTTGTAATAATGTTCTTAGAATACTTCTTTGCGTAAACAATGTTTCTTATAACAAAACAAAATCTATTGCTAAATTCAGTAAAAATGTTTGTAACAATGGACTATAACTACGCCACTGCATGAACTTAATTTCGAAAAATGAAAATAAATTAATTGTTAAAACCAGTTTGTAATCAATTTCTTAGACTACTTGCTTGCATCAGCAATTTATCTTACAACAAAATAAAATCCATTGTTAACACCACTAAAAATGTTTGCAATAATTGTCTCGTACTATAGGCCTCTTCATAAACCAAGTTTAGTCGATTGGAAAAAAAATTATTGTTTAAACCAATATAAATATAAATGATATCTCTAAATTCAGTTTTTATAAAAAGCAATCAAGAGTAATAGATATCTTATCTGAAAGATTAAATGCTCGTGTTATTGTTGTAAGGTCCACGACAGAAAAGTGCTATTTCTGTGCTATTACAGTATCAGTATATTTTTACGTCATTAATTTATCATCACAATGTTTATATGATGATTTTCCTGATAAGCTCACAACAGCTAAAATTTCCAACAAAATATTGGATTGATAGAAATGTTTCAAAATAAACTAAAATTCATTTTCGTGAATTATTTTTAAAAATCTACAGTTTAGTGCTCACGTACAATAAACACGTTGAAATAGCTCAACTTGAGTTTAATTTCACTCGTCTGTCTGGATAAAATAAGGCTTCTCATCTGGAGTTAAGTTCACTCGAGTCAAAGAGTCAATTGAAGTAACTCAAGTTAGAGTGCAGAATTTTTTCTGCACTCTAACAAAAATGAATAGTTAGAGTGCAGATTGAAATTCACTCGAACTTGAGTGAATTTCAATCATTTTTGATTGATAATCATCCTCATTCTAGGGCTTCACTTTAACTCGAACTCTAATGGATTCATTTTTGTTAGACTGTTAGCATCATTTGAGTGCATGATTTTAACCTGAATTTAAGTGAATATTAATAATTTTGATTAATAATTAGCATCCTTTGAGTGAATTTATTCGAGGCGTTACTAAACGACTTAAAACTTTTTAGAAAACCTGTTATTTTTTACTGAAGGCTCCTACTAAATTATGATTTCAGTAAAAACAAAATATTTATTTAATTGGAAAGTTAAAATTAAATCCTCAAAAGCAACGTTATAAAATCACAAATGATAAAATTTTATTTAAAAGCTTTTCGTCTTTCGTTGTCACATTGATACAATAACGGGCAGGAACAGTAAAGATGATGTAATCCGATAGGGACTACGTCACACTAAACAGATACAGTTAAAAGTAATTACATTAAATTGATAGCAAGAGTTAGAAAATTAAAATGCATCATTATTATTTTTATCAAATAAAATAAAAAAAATTATTATATATATATATAGTTTTTTTTTTTTTTTTCGAAAAATTTAACTCAAGTTTTACATTTACCTACCCATTAGGGACTTTCTTCTTGGCCAAAAAAATATTGGTTAGTTTTTATTTGACCTATTCAATTTATTTATTTTATAATGTTATTTATTTTCTATTTTCCAGCCCTCATTAGCAAAAAAATTTCATATTCATGATACATGCGGGGTGAATAATTTGCATGGTATGCCGGGAGTGTTTGCCGGAATTACGAGCGCAATTGTTGCATCAATGGCAACTAAGAAGAATTATGGTTACAGGTAAGTATGTATTTTATTTGGAATTCGACTATAATGCCCTTAGATATTAGAACATGCCATTGGAACACATCAAATAAAAGAAATTAAAAAGAATCAAGGTCATATATTTGTTACTGACATAAGTCAGTCAGAACTAGGAAATTCAAACGACAGAAAAAGACAGGGATTAATTGAACTTAAGATACCCATTTATCATTCTAACACTTACTCTAGAAGAGTTATAAATTTTCAACAGCATTGCGATCCAAAATCTTCAAATAAAAAGATAAAGTATTTCGTTTATTCGACGAGAAAAAAGCTAAGTGTTCAATTATACGCCATACTATATTGATTGGTTTATTTTATTGATCTTTTTAATGATTTGGTTAATTTTATTGTTTATTGCACAGGTCCAAAACTAGAAAGGTTTGTCCAAAATCATTAAAAAAAATTTTAAAAAATTAAATTTTTTTTCAATTTTACTGCAATGAAACGCGAGTAAAAAATAACAAAAGTAAAAGAAAAAAGTCTTTAATGTTTATAATTTGAGTCATAATGCTGTAATTAATACACATTAAAAAGTAGCACATCGGGTTACATAGAATTGTTTTAAATATCTACATTGTAAAAAAAAATCTCTTAAACGTACGGGAAAATATTGTCAGTTGGTGTGCCAGTATGAAACCGTTTATTTCACAAAAAATACTTTTATTTAAAAACAAATGCCTGTTTTTTGAGCAGTTAAGTAGTAGGGGTACTTGAAATATTTATACCTCGTTACCATAGTTACCGCCACAGGTGCAGACGAATGGCTAAGGAAGACATCAATTTTACAATAAGGTGGAATCATTATTTTACGTATATAATGTTTAAAACCATAAAATCATCGCTGAAAAATTTGAGCAAGTAAAGAAAATAATCGTAAAATAATTTCAAAAGTTATCGTACAGTAAGCAAAACTGCATGGAAAAACCTAAAATTTAAGCAGACGGTTTTAATCCGTTTATGGTTAGGAAGAAAAATAGATGGAAAAAAAAACATTTCGTCAGCAAAACAGCTTTAAACTGTCAAATATACACAAAAAGTATATAAAAAGAACGGGAATTTTTTTCAGTGTAATTGCACAAAAAACTGCATGTACTTGTAAATGTGAAATTGATACTCGAAAAATATACAATAAAAAAAAAGGATTTTTCTTAATTGTTATGCTCAATTCTTAATTTTAATTTTAAATCCTCTTGTCTTCAAAATAAATAATAAGAATTGCAGCCCAGTAATTCTTCTAAACGAAATAAGTCATCTCTTTCGTGCTGAGTTAGCATTAGTTTATCGAATTTTTAATTTAATTTTTTTCCAGCCATACTTCAATTTTTAGACATTTTAGATATATGGATGGTTGACTGAATGTAAACAGAAACAAACTTCCTAAAACCGAAAGAAAACTTCCGGTGTATCTTTCGCGTTATTATGTTTACTCTTTGTTACGTTATTCTAGGAAGTTCAATTATTGTGAGTTAGGTTTAAATTTACGGATAATTTTACCATTCATAACAGTTTTCTGTAATTTATAAATTCTAAAAGGTCGTTAACAGTAAAAAAAATTGACAAAATTAATATTTTTTTAAAATTTCCTATAAGCTGCACAATCAGTCTTCCCGATGAGCAGACCTAGCGCGTTGTTCAGAAGTGGTATCTACTCTTTCAGGACCACCACAATGGGTGAGATACCATTGGCCATGTTAATTTGGACGTCTATTTTCTGCCACACTAGATGGCAGCACCGAGACTCTATTTGGATGCTAAAGTGCAATAGGAATTTAATTGTGCCGGAAATGCCAAGAGCCAATATGGCACTCCAGGGATCTTTTACATGCCGCATAATCATACGACATGGCTGCTGAGGATTTTCTGCATCCTGAAAATCCGGTGTTAGGGCTCAGAAGGCAGACGACAAACCAACTGCGCCACCCAGCCACACAAAATTAATATTACAGCATAAATAAAATGTTAGGTTTGTCATATTTTGAGTGTTATCCCCTATTTGGCGATATTTGTGTANTTTCTTTTTTGAAAAATGTAACTCAAGTTTTACATTTACCTACCCATTAGGGACTTTCTCTTTGGCAAAAAAAGTATTGCTTATTTTTTATTTGACCTATTCAATTTATTTATTTTATAATGTTATTTATTTTCTATTTTCTAGCCCTTATTAGCATTTCTAGCCCTCATTATTTACTTTCTAGCCCTCATTAGCAAAAAAATTTCATATTCATGATACATGCGGGGTGAATAATTTGCATGGTATGCCGGGAGTGTTTGCTGGAATTACGAGCGCAATTGTTGCCTCAATGGCAACTAAGAAGAATTATGGTTACAGGTAAGTATATATTTTATTTGGAATTCGACTATAATGCCTAACATGCCATTCGAACACAGCAAATGCCGGTAGGATCATTATGACATTAGAACACATCAAATAAAAGAAATTAAAAAGAATCAAGGTCATATAATTGTTACTGACGTAAGTCAGTCAGAACTGGGAAATTCAAACGACAGAAAAAGACAGGGATTAATAAATTGAACTTAAGATATCCATTTATCATTCTAACACTTACTCAAAAAGAGGTATAAATTTTCAACAGCATTGCAATCCTAAATCCTTTTTATCAAATAAAAAGATAAAGTATTTCGTTTATTCGTATCCAATTATGCGCCATGCTATATTAATTGGTTTATTTTATTGATCTGGTTTATTTTATTGTTTATCGCACAGGTTCAAAACTAGAAAGGTTTGTCCAAAATTATTTAAAAAAAAAATAATAATAATAAATAAACGATTTTTTTTTCTTTCAATTTTACTGCAATATAACACGAGTAAAAAATAACAAAAGTAAAAGAAAAAATCTTTAATGTTCATAATTTGAGTCATAATACTATAATTAATACACATTAAAAAGTAGCACATCGGGTTATATATAATGTTTTTAAATATCTACATTGCAAAAAAAATCTCTTAAACGTACGGAAAAATGTTGTCAGCTGGTGTGCCAGTATAAAACCGTTTATTTCACAAAAAATACTGTTATTTAAAAACAGATGCCTGTTTTTTAAGCAGTGAGTACTGTTATTTTAACAAGCAAACTCCCATATTTTAACTAACTCTTATATTTTAACTAAAAAAAATATAAGTATGTCATTGCGGTCCGTGAGCAGCATCCATACGACCAGTCCAAGCAGGAATTCGAATATGGATCACTTCATCAGAGTTAATCATTCTATTCCCTAAGCTACAGGAGCTCTAATATCTCTGTTTAAAACAAAATCTTGATCTGTTTTTCATCTTAAAAGTCTTACTTATTGAAATAATACTTAAGTGCAAAAATATTTGAACCTAGAGTAGCACACCCGTATGAAAAATTTTGGCTACTTATTTTACCAAAAAATTATATCTAAAAAAATATAATAATCAGGTGTAGTTTGTCTACTGTAAGAACTCCCCCACCCCAAAGTTGTTAGCTTCGTTGAAAGTTAAATGGAAAGAAAGCGTTATATTGAGTACACTACATGTGTAATAATATTGAATGGCCTGCTTTTTCAAACTTAGACGTGAAAATAATTCGGAAGTAGTAATCCGGAAATTTTCCGTCGAATTTTAACACCTATGCTAAGCTTTGCATGGTCAACTATCCATATGTATATATGGTGCTTTACTAAATTAGCAGAGTGAATGTTAAGTTAAGAATGATTCTTTCACTTGACCCGCTATATTTACTGCCATAAATACAAGTAAACTTACTGTTTAGTCATATTTAATTTATTTTTAGTTTGTATCAACTGTATCCCTCCCGGACTCCTGCTGAAAATACTACTCAGTTTCACAGTATACAGAATGTACTGACGGGAATCGAACCGGGCGACAACTGGTCTGCAGCTAGTCAGGCTTATGCTCAACTAGAAGCTTTAGCTGTTACCATGGCTATTGCTATTTCTGGAGGTATTACAACTGGTACGTAAATCGAGTTCTTCAAGTAACCGTATTTCCAACAATTAACGCTTTCTTGAATAAAGGTCAAGCTTAAAATGGTTTTAGTTTGTTTCTATGACAATAGCAGCGGTAATTTAAACATGCATTTTACTTTTCGGTTCATTCGACACAATTTATTTTGAAATTATTTTTTAAGTCTAAATTATTTTTAATTGTAAAATTTTACCCTATGTTATTTTATTTTATTTTATAACCGTCGTTGAACAGCCGACCCAATTTCATGGGTTTACGACTACTTACGTTCAACTCCGTAGCCTTGTAATTTTGAACCAATCCAGAAGACAAGGAAACTCCTGGATCAGTACCCCCAGAGGTATTGATTTGTTGTGAGAACATGGAGGACTTTGAGACTCGACAGATTTAACGTGCATCAGTCACCATTTACTACACGGGGAGTCTTCGGCCGGCGAGGATCGAACCCACGACCTCTTGGACCCTATGTTAGGAGTGGTAATCTGGACATGCAGTTTACTCTTCAGATCATCTGACACAATTTATTTTGATGTTGTAGTCGTTGTAGCCCATTTACGTCGCACTAGAGCTGCACAATGGGCTATTGGCGACGGTCTGGGAAACATCCCTGAGGATGATCCGAAGACATGCCTTCACAATTCTGATCCTCTGCAGAGGGGGTGACACCCCTGTTTCGGTAGTCCGACGACCTGCACGCGAAGTCGAGCACTTTACGGTAGAACAGTTTAACGAATACCAACACCGCACACCCTCGGTCCCTACGCAGACTGATCCAAGTGGTCACCCACCCGCACAGTGACCGCAGCCAGTGATGCTTGACTTCTTTGATCTGCTGGAAATCGTGTCTTTACGATCAGTCCACTGCGGGACACAATTTATTTTGAAAATAATTTTATGCATCAAATATTTTTGGATATGAAAATTTACCCATTAATTATTAATCATTAAATTAAAAATTATAATATATTAATGAGGAGAGCAAAACTTCTTAAAAGAGAGATTTTGCGTCTGGTTTATTTCTTCCTTCTGCTAAACTAGATCAACATTGTGAAATAATGCGGAAATTTTTTGTCTGTTTATGATTGTGCTATGGAGCGTAGAAAAAGTTTAAAAAAAACGGGGTGTTGCACAAAATTTCTCTACTTAGAAATTTTGCACTCCTCTCCATTGGTTCCTCTCCAACTTCTTTCTTCCACTTCCTATATTCTCGCTAAGTAAGAGTGAAGTAATTACTAGTTCGGCTGAAGATTACGCATTGCCCTTCTATTTTACGGGTAGGTAAAAGTCAAGCGGATAAAAAGGGGGCAAAATGAGCAGAAAAGTTACTTGGTCATATTACCCCAACTTGTAATTCATTCTTAAAAGTAAAATAATCTAAAAGTCTTAATTAGCGTAATTTCTATATATGCTGTTCTATGATGATATATTGGATGCTCAATTTTTCGTTACATTTTGTTTTGTTGCGCGAAAACTGTAAGACTCAGAAACTTAAAACTACAGAGTGGTGTATAAAAATGCACAAAGAGTACGATGAAATTAAAAAAAAAGCATTTGATGAATGCTGCGAGAATTATTCACTTTACAGTAAAACATACCACGTAAGCCATTTTGAAGCCCACAGAATTGTAACAATTTGACGTGTTGCAAGAGACTTTTTTTTTTTTTACTTTAATGCGAGTTTTAAACAAAATTCCAGTTTGTTCAAAATTTATTGTAATTTTAAATGCTTTTTTTTTCACTTTGTATTCTTTACTTTAAATAATGGCTATTTATCCAATGTAGTAGGAAAATTTACGAGATTTATTTATCGTTCTCAAAATCTTTATTTTATAATCCTTTAGATGTTAGATATAATGGAAATATCTTTCCCATTATATTCTTAATTCAATAGAGAATAATCATGATTCATTGAGAATGATTATGATTCCTTAATTCAATTGAGGAATTCATTAAAATCTTAATTCAATTGAGATTAAATTCCGTTTCCTATTCGCACAGTTATAATGAAGTACGTCTCGTTAACAATTAAATTATTTTTGAAATATTTCTTCTTATTAGGTCTAAAGTTAAATTTTTTTTCACTAATTTTCCAAGCTAAGTACTCGTTTATTTCGTTACTATTTAACAAAATATTGTTACATAAAAAACTAAATAATACAATTATGATATTATAATTTCATTAATAAAAGTTCTATGCTGTATTATCGATTTTTAAGAAGAAAAAAAAAACGTTGAAGAAGGAGAAGGTGAAGCATTCTAGTTAATTAAAGAGATTTACCAGAATCTGTTGTTGAAAAGGAAAACTTACACGAAAAAGGTTCTTGAAATTTCAATAAGATTCTTACTAAATGAATCTTACGAAAAATCCCATACAGAGTAGAAAATTACCCACTTCAAATCAACTAGTTTTAAAAACTTATTAATCAACTTAGTTTAAAAATTGATTAGTTAATTGAGAACCTAAAATTGTAATAAATTTTTTATAGAGAAAATATTGAAATATTGACGTCTTTTTTTTGAAAATCCCACTGTTTCAAAATTTTGAAACTCTAAGATATCCAGCAATGTAAATTAAATTCATTATTAGTACCAAGTGAAGTTTAAAAAAAATTAAAAACGCAGTAGGGGAGAGTGGGGTCAATTGTAACACGGTACGATTTTAACAGAGCAAAAATTTCGAGTGTCGGATTCCAGATTTGGTTCCTAGGTGGCGCNTATGCTGTATTATCGATTTTTAAGAAGAAGAAAAAAACATTGAAGAAAGAGAAGGGGAAGCATTCTAGTTAATAAAAGAGATTGACCAGAATCCGTTGCTGAAAAGGAAAACTTACACGAAAAAGGTTCTTGAAATTTCAATAATATTCCTACTAAATGAATCTTACGAAAAATGGCATACAGAGTAGAAGATTACCCACTTCAAATCAACTATTTTAAAAAACTTATTAATCAACTTAGTTTAAAAAAATGTATCTGATATTGAGAACCTAAAATTGTAATAAATTTTTTATAGAGAAAATATTGAAATATTGACTTCTCTTTTTTGAAAATCCCACTTGAAACTCTAAGATATCCAGCAATGTAAATTAAATTCATTATTAGTACCAAGTGAAGTTTAAAAAAAGTAAAAACGCAGTACTGAATTTTACATTATAATACTTCCTAACTAATTAAATTCATTCTACTAATTTACTAATAACCTACTAATTATTCTTTCTACTAATTAATAGATCAGTAAATTGGTATTTATTCTACTAAATTAAATTCATTGTTACTACCGAGTCAAGTAAAAATAAAAGTAAAAACGCAGTTTTAAATTTTTCATTATAATTCTTTAAATTCTCTTTTAGTTTTTTACATTCCACTTTAAGTCAAGATCTTCGCGGTAATCAATTCGACTTTTTCAAACTATTTTATTTCAAAATATTTTTCTTCCATTTTATCATCAAAGCATTTCCTTTTTACAAAAATTTTTCTAAATCAATTTAGAATTCACTTTTAAGTACTGAATTCAATTTTCATCAAACAAACCATTATTTCATTTTAAAGATTTTAATTATCCTCTTTGCAAAAACTGTTCTCCTTTCCTCTATTTTTTCAATTAAGAAATTCGAAGATAAAAATTTAAAAGAAATATTTTTCCACAAATCAATAAGTTTTCTATTTTCATCATGATTCCTTAATTGAACTCAATCTTTAAATTTCATAATGAAAAATATTTGCCAATTAAACAAAAATGAATAATTGATAGAGTTTTAAAGAATGTATATAAAAAGCTGAAAAAGATCAATATTTTTAATTTCTTAATTAATTATTATTTTTGGGAGTCTATGCCTGATGTAGATGTAAGTATAATTAGTATTATCGTTAATAATTAATATTTACATTTCTTTAAAATAAACGTTACACTACATTAGATAACTTACTTATTTAAATTCCACTGTTTTATTCTGAAATTTAAATTTAATGATTGCTATTTCTATGAAACAACAAAATTAAATCAATTAGTATATTTTTCAAAAAATAATCGCTTCAAAAATATTATCTTAATCTATAATCAGTATTAACTTTAAACATGAATTTATCTTAAAATTACACTGTTAGAATTTTCATTCCAAAATTATGGCAAAATTACCACCAGAGTTTCTCCATCCAACTAGCAGTAAAGTTTACGGTAAAGAACATATTTTACCGCCACTGTTTTGCAATCGTTTACAACTAGTATGGTTAAAAAATAATGACTATTAAACTGTGTGATTTTTTAACCATTTACAACGAGCATGGTTTCAGAACCATAATTTTTTTTTACTGGGCATTGGAGATAGTTTGGCAACTTTATGGTGCTGTAATCTATGCGTAAAGTAGAGTATTATATTCTATCAGTCTAGTGTTACAAATTAAGGAGTGCAGAACACTGGAAACTCTTCATGTGTTAAAGGGATTTAGAAAATATTGTGGTGCCAACGCTGCGATTCGAACCCCCGTTCTGTCGGTTATGAGAATGACAGATTAGCCCTCTCGGCTGTAATATGTACGAAGGAACTAAGTGGCTTCATTAGGTGGGTCTAGTTGGTGCTATAAAATTCTGACTGTTCAACCGTATTACGTGAAAGCAGTTAAATTGCAGTTTTTCTCACAGTTAACAGTTTGAATACAATCTTATTTACGGTTATTTAGCGGTTTTGTTTGAATATGATAAAATAATTATTAAATAGTTTAACCATATTTTCCTAGAAATTTCGAACTGTGGACTAACTTTCATTCAGTTGTTGTTATAATATAAATGTTATGTTGTATATTGCATTGCTGTTATTGTTATTGTATTATTGTATTTTTACACCATGCTTCAGTATATTTTTTGTACCATACTAATAAAAATGTTACACTTTCTTAATCCCTAAGGCACTCACGTTAAAATACAACCAAAGTAACATTAATTTAGTACAAATATTTCAAAAATTGTGCTTTTAATAAAACAGCATTTGTTTTAA